TGAGCCGGTGAGATTTGAACAGCCGAACTGCAGATCTACAGTCAGCTGAAGTAGCCTGCAGTGCTGCATTTAACCACTGCGCCACCTCGGCTCTTGTTACTAAGTAAATATGATCTGCTAACATAAAACTCAGTCATGAGTATGATTCAAGGATGTTGGTCTAGCTAAAGTTAAATCTTCCTTTACAATTATATTGCTAATAATCAGCCTGCTGTTTCCATCCCTATATTCTGTCATGCAAAAAAGGATTGCAGAAAAAAGAATACTTGTTTTTTTTTTTAAAGTAAAATTTGCAAGGCAAAGGCAAAAATCAAGCTTTCCTCTAGAGTTTCCTCACTTTCTCCAAACTTCTGGTTCTGAAATATAATTCTACCTTTTCCCAAAACTGTGATAGATGCAGAGATTTTGAATTTGTACTTTGGGCAAGGCAAATGTTTTTGCTGCTTTTAATGTCTCCAAATTCCATTACAGATCAGTCCTCTAAAGCAGGGGTTTCCAACCTTGGCAACTTTAAGACTTGCAGACTTCAACTTCCAGTTGGAGGACTCTTCAACTCTGGAAGTTGAAGTCCCCAAGTCTTAAAGTTGCCAAGGTTGGAGATCCCTGCTCTAAAGGACAGGTTCTGTTATACAAATGGATTTCATCATGAGTTAATTACTTACAACAATCTGAAACAACTTAACTTGGGACAATCTAAAACTTGAAAAACACAATTGGACTTACCTCTGCAAATTGAGTGAATGACTCTATGGCATGCTGTTGTTTTAGCCAGCTATTGTTAGCCAGTAAAGAACCAAACAAGCAAGACAAGCTGCACAGAAATTGATCCTAACAAGTGAATAATACAATAAGTTTGGTTTAAGCTCTACATTAAAGTAGTAACAACAGAGATAGACTTCTATAATTCATCTACAGCTCTAAAATTAAATCAGCAGTGATTGTTAATAACAAATGGCATTTCACTCCCTCCAGAACAAACCAGCTAACTTGCAATAACATAGTGCAGCTGTTAAAATGTACTTATGTATACCAGGGGTCTCAAACTCAATTTCATTGAGGGCCGCAAAAGTTTGACCGTGGTGTGTGTGTGTGTGACCAGGATGGGCATTGCCAGCTTGATGTCACTTGTCGGTGGAGCCTGTGATGGCCCAAGCGTTCTGCCAGCAAAAATGGGCTCCTGATTTTTCGGCTGTGATGGCCTTCTGCAACCCTTTACCAGCGAAAACAGAGCTTGGGAGAGCCGCATGAAGCTCTGTTTTTGCTGGGAGAGGCACCACGGGCCGGTCCTTCATTGTTTCTAGGAAAGCCCTGCAGGCCAGATCTAAGCACCCCAGGGGCCGGATCTGGCACCTGGGCCTTGAGTTTGACACCACTGATATATACCAACAAATTATATTCATCAGGGCAGTAAAGAAATGGAAATATCTTACATATTAGTGACTGTTACTGTATTTTTCAGAGTATAAGACGCTCCGAAGTATAAGATGCACCTAGATTTTGGGGAGGAAAACAAGGGAAAAATATCTGCCTCCCAGCAATTTGCCTCCTTGCAACAAACAGTACAGACAATAGAAACTGTTTGTAGTGTTATATTTCAGACTATACTNCACTAGCCAAGATCCCAACGATGCCAACAGCTTTTCCAGGAGAGAAAGTGAAGATCTAGCATCCTGAGAAAAGCCTTCATGGTGAGGAGATCGGTCCTCTTTCCTTGCTCCCCCCCCCACTCCCCTGGATCTGTCATGCAGTGCTTATTGCTATTTCTCCTATTGTGCCCAGCTACCTTATCTCTTTGTTGCATGACAGATCCGAGCGGATTAGGTGTGTGTGTGTGTGTGTGTGTAGGAAGGGAAGAGGAACGATCTCCTCTCCACAAAGGCTTTTCCCAGGATGCTAGATTGGGAAGTTAAAACCTGGAATGGGAAATCAAAACCTGGAATGGGAAGCTTGATTCAAAGGCTTTGGCTCCTGAGATCACTGCGCTGCCACCTGAAAATGCTATTACCGCGATCTCTGCCGCCTGGAACTGCCCGAGAAGGGGCAGGTAAAACGGGTGCCGCAGAGATCGCGGTACCAGCGTTTTAGGTGGCAGCGCAGTGATCTCAGAAGCCAAAGCCGTTGAATCAAGCTTGACTGTACCCCCTTCCAGGTTTTTAACTTCCCAATATATAGAATGTTATATATAGAATGAAGAAAAAAGAATGTATGAAATAATAGAAATGCACATATATATAAAGTTATAGCTATACAAGACTTATATGTATAGATAAAAGAATCACGACAGCTATGTCAAAGAAGTGTAATGTGTTGCAAAGATGTGAAGTTTGCATA